TGCCGAGATGACGCCGTGTTTTCCTCCCTCGCTGGAAAAATTCCTCAAGTAAATTCAAAGTTTCTTTTTTCATATATATATTTCTTTTTTTTTCATATCTACATTTAGCCAGTGTAAGTCGAAAGTCTAGAACTGAAGTTTTATTGCGCTAGAGTTTCACCAATACACCTGAGAAGAAATCTTAAGGGGTAAAATGGTTATATTTGTGGGCTATCTGGAGGTGTCCGATAACACAAGTTTTGATTGGCGATGCGAACAGGTTTCAAATGGTGTAAACATTTTAAGTCTCCTTCATTTTTGCAATGAAAGCGATTAAATTGTTTTGTAGTTTATATTTGAGAACAAAATCCTGTTTCCTTTTATCTTTTTTGTCCTGCATTCTATCTTTGATTGCATTTTTGTGAAATGGGTTTTTGTTAGCTTTTTTTATTTTTTACTACACGCTGGCTTCTTCACTTCCCTTCCTCTTCATTTGGGTAACAGAAGCATGTTTCTGGCTCTGAATTGCTCGGTTATTTCTTACGTCGCAAGTAATATATTTATTACATTTGTTTGATGTTTATGGTTGTATTGGTGTGGTCAAGACCTAAAACGCTTTCGCCGACTGTTATTTTACAGGATCCTATTTCCCGCTTCATCGAGAGTCAGATTATTTTAGATCTGCGGTCTTCATTGTCTGATGTCTGTGATGTTATGTCGTCACTGGATATTGCCATTGGTTTTCTTGCCACATCGGGGGGCCAGTCGGAGAAGCTTTTAAAATGGTACTTACATGAAGTTCTTAAGCTACCCAAAGATCGAGGTCTTAAGAGTCCAACAGTAAGTGCATTGCAACTTCATATTTGAAGGACTCACTTAGGTTGTCGTCATTCTTGACTGTTTCAACGCCCTAACCACCAATATCTGAACCAAAATGCCCCTTTTAGTAGCCATAAAAACCCATTTTAGGAGGTCCGAGGTTGTGTACCACTTAAGCGATTTGTGAGAGATGAGCAATACTTCGTTTTTATCAGTTGGCTAAAGGAGGAGCGCTGTTTGCTCATGTGTTGGCCATTATTCAGCAATGCTTTGACTCATGCACGAGTTTTAATGGATCACGTCATATTTTTTAGGCAGAGCAACACTGCAACTTATCCCATACCTTGGCACTGTGGCGGCTTATGGCTCTCGAGAGAGCAAAAATCAAGTCAAGGAACAGACAGGTTAGGTTTGAAATGATTGTTTTTCACTCTCGGCGGTTAAATTTCTGGGTAATCACCGTCACAATCGCAAACTTTAGCCCCCCTACGCATTAGAAAAGAACAGAATAAAACTGATTAAAAGTTTCCTTCTATTTCATTGATGTTTGGCTTATTTTCTTATGAAGAGAAAAGTGGCTTGTCAAAAGCATTAGTCGTTTCTTGGGATATAAGAACTATTTCAACTCCTTCCAAAGTTTGATGAGTGTTTCTGATGTGCTATACACGAGATTTGCTCCTCGGCTTTTCCGCAAGGTTATCAAAGTGTGGCTTTGATAAGACGTGAGTAGTTTAGGAGGGCACTCTGGCCCCCAACCAATCGTAGAACTACATTTGGTGCCATATGACGCAAATGGACTAATCAAAGTTGCGTATTTTGACACCCCCAAACTTGAAATGTAATGCACAATTTTCAGGTGTTTCCGTGTTTCACAGAGTCACGCATCAGACACACCATTTTCTTTCTACCAGGATGTCACGCGCCGGGGTCCGCCCTCCAGATGCATTGGTAGAGATTATTTACAAACCAATAATAATAATAATAATAATAATAATAATACTTTATTTACCCAAGCATCACCTAAGAGCTAATAGCTCGTTTAAAACATGAACGTGAAACTAATTACAAATAATGAGTTAATAAGAACTA